TTTAATAAAAACCATGCAGGTAAGTGATAGTAACGTTCGTAGACAGTTAATAAATATTTAGTTGCGACAGCAATGCATTAAAGATTTAATCAGACACGGATATGACGAAACGTCTTAATTCAACTACAGAAGGGGTAAGTAAAAAAAAACTTTCATTTTTTATTTCTCCGCCAACAGTTTCACTGGGAATTCTATGCGATATACAATTTGCATAGATTGAGCATTGTTATAGCTATTTAATACCTTTTATAAACGACAAGCACGTTTATTAAAGTGATATCGTTCACCTTAATCTCACAATTGTAGGTTTATAAAACAAAATAATGTGTGCAGGTACCACCAACTTTCATTACACAATAAGAAACCAGACTGCGCGCGTACATTTCAAACAACTAGCGTTAACAAACAGCTTGTTTGAATAAAATATTTAAGTAATTAGCTGAGCATTTATTTTTAGTCCCACTATACATAGAATACAGCAATAAAAAGCCTTCATAGTTGGACGCGTACGGGTCAATAACTAGACAAAGGTTCGAGTAAGATTGTAGACGCTTCTCCGATCGACCTCAAATACTTTACGGTGAGTTTATTAATTAAGGCGGCCGACCTTGCAGGCCGCACATCCAAGGAGGTCGGTGGAGCGCGCGACAGAGACGCCGCTATGCCGCGCACGACACGCTCGTTCCCGCGCGCGCGCGACGCAACATCAAATCAACTGCCGAAGCGCGCCATTTCAATCGTCTGACGTATCCCTCATTGACCTTCCGTTATCTGCACTAGGATTGTCTTCGGCTTATCAGCCGCTGCTTGTTGCCTTTCAACTGAAACACCGACCATTCACATCGAATAACAAAGCGTATAAGGCATATAACTCATTGTAACGATTTCGATAATTACGGGTAAATAAAACTGAATTCAAACCGCGAATAAAAACCAATCAACGGCAAGCTTTAAAAGCCGCTCGGTCGCCAAGCAATTATGAATGCTAAGAGGCGAATCTACAGTAAGCCGGTATACATGACGTATAATACAAACACAAACAGAGTCTCGCACCGAGTAGCCGAGAACAATCACAAGAGAGCGCGAGCCAGGAGATCACTCGAAACCGCACCTTAAGCTCATTGTCAAACCGATTACAATAAACAAACAGGACAGACGCGGTTGGAATCTTGTCAAACAGGCGAGTTCGAGCGTTGACTTATTGCCGGTAGGGCATTTCTGTGTCTGTCGTGCTCGACAGAATAAAACTCTATGCAGATATGAATATGGTTGAAATTAATTTTGATTTTTATCATACAGGTAAAACACGGGCACGGTCGCTTACGGCCCACTCACACAGACGCAGCGCCACGCTGCCATAAATAAAAGATTCCTACAGAAACAATTGTTGCGTAGAGGTGATCCGAGGCCTCGGTGAATGTAGTCGACTAATCGCCTCGAGTCGATCGCGAAAGTAGGTGACCGCCCGTGATTGACGCTCTTGCGAAACCCCGTTCGATGACATTTAGACTGGACGGACAATGCTCTAAGCCCTCGCTAATTATGAAACGTAATTATTTGTGCAGCAGGTACGAAGTGTGATGTAATATTATAATCAAGTGCAATCGTCACGACTTTTATAGTAGCGTTTGTTTGGGCACATCTTTAGTGTAAGCAAATTGATGTTAACGAATTATCGCAAACTAGACAACTCTGAATAAGCTAATTTCGTAATACCTGTGATTGAATAATATTGGCACACAATAAAGAGGCCTTTAATGGTACCATAAAATAGAACGAGCAAAATAAACAATATAGTGTAACTATGCAATTAAAACCAAATATTACATCAACATATATTGTTTTATCGTTAATCCAGACTCCACGGAATCTCTGTTCTAAGATAACACCGCTCTACTTAACCTCGGCACACAGAGACGCGTAAACGTGAAACAATACGGTACAGTAACACAACCTTATTCATGTACCTGTTAAATTAGAAGCAAGCCAAAATGAACTTTACTACCGCGGAATAAAGTCCAGTGGATGTTAAGTAAGTCAATCAAGGGAGGTGTATTAACGCTACGTGCACTCACACAGACGTAGAGGACATCTGCGTAGGTACGCGGCCGGGTGACGTTAGTGTGTGGGAATGCCAGCGAAATTTATACACACTCTTCATCGCGCTCCATTGTAATTTACAGTTTTGTAGCGTTTTTAAAAGCAAACACTTCTGTATGAGATTATCATTTATCATTAATTTATTTTATCTTTTGTAAACATTACCGCCTCTAGAGATAGTGAGGAAGACGTCTGTGGTATTGTCTATAGACACAGTGCGATCTCGCATAGTTTTGGTCAGTTGGACGTAGACACTCAGTTTATAAATAAGTGACAAACAACGCACCAGCAAAACACATTAATATAACACTAATAATTATTTATAATTCTGGCAAATTATTCGTCTGTATATGATTTTAACATCAATATTCCGTTTGAGCGTAAGCCAAATCATTCAAGTATTTAATGTATGTAAATATACACACCAGTTACCACTACACTCACCCTGCAAGAAACTATTATGAACAAACAAACAAACGTGTAAATTAACACGTATAACATCAGCCACTGGCTGAACCAATATGGCGCTGTCAACATTCCAACGGTCACTTTTTAAAATTAATTAAATTGTGTCGATAGAGTAAATCGTAAAACTAAGAAAGTATCGAGTGAAAACTGAGACTCGTTCATAAATTCATATCAAATTGAAAGTTTAAGCAAATGAAGACAAGTCTGTGAGTGCTTTCTAGAAAATATAATGTACATTGCATTCGTAAGAGATCATTTGGTGGTGTATCTGTAGTCTGTACTCGCGTTGACCGGACCGGCCAGCTATTTGTACTTAGTAGACCGAGCCCGCCCACCTACACAACGTTCCCACACTGTTTTACTTACCTTTGGATACGGCATTCGACATTCACGGTCAACTTGAAAGCTTTTTCAATGTTACCTGTAAATCCATATTGTTTTGGCTGCACAAATTAATTACAAGTTCATTACTAAAACACAAATGCAAATAATATCAGCTTATTTTTACGTCATAAAACATCACGACTACCATAAAGCGGAAAACATTATGTCAGATTTGAAATAAAAAAAATGCTATCATCTCTTAACATTTTCCAGTTACAAAACAAAAAAAAAATAAACAAGAAATAAAAATAGAAAAACCACTCATAGTTATCGAGAATTATTTATATTAGTGGCTCCGTGGCATTTCACTTGATGCAATACTGAGCGGGATGTCAATAGTAACATCAAATGGGCACCATTTTTATTACAGAATACCAACACCCACATACACGAGTTTGTGATATACTTGAATTAATTACTAATCATGTCCATAACACCCACGTGACCATTAAATCGTAAGTACACAAACTGGAGATAAATTGTAAGCCACTACGGTCAAAAGTTGCATCACTTTCTTCCATATCTAAATTACATTTTATCAGAAAAAGAGTGAATTTATTAGCTTTTTTCTTTATTGGGGGAATAGTTAACAAAATAAAACTTTAGTTAGTGTTAAGTGTAAAATGTTTATTTTAGTTATTTCGTTTAACAACGATTATATTCGTGTTTATTTTAGTTAGTGACGTACTCTGGTCTACCTAGTCTTAAACCAAGATAAAATAAGTAAACCATAAGAAAAAATCTAACAAAATTATTACATTTTCAACCTTGTTGCATACAAAGTAAGAGTTCAAAACACTTGCAAGTTGTTATAAAAACAGTGCATTAACACTAAGATATCACAATTCCACATGGTCGTTAAGGCGATAGCAAAACAATTAACGAAATAACAAGTTTCCAGACAAAACAGGCTCATTACGAACGTAATTGATCAGTTGTTGTTACTGACTCCGAAGATTCTATCAATTTTATTTTCAAGTAAATGAACTAATAGGTATTATAGACCCTAATCAAGCAATGGGGGCTACCGCATTATTGGTCACCAATTTTTTTTTTATGGCATAGGAGGCAAACGAGCAGACGGATCACCTGATGGTAAGCGATCAGCGCCGCCCATGGACACCCGAAACACCAGAGGAGTCACAGATGCGTTGCCGGCCTTTTAAAAAGGAATACGCTCTTTTCTTGAAGGTTTGAAGGTCCTATCGGTTCAAAAATACGGCCGACAACAGATCATTCCACAGTTTTGCTGTGCGAGGCAGAAAGCATCGTGAGAAGCGCACAGAATTGTGGCCTGCCAACCATCTATATGGTGGTAAATAGCGCAAACGTAGCAAAAAATTTTTTGTCCAATCACTGCAGCTGTAAATATTTAACGTCCAATGGTGTGACACTAAGTTATTGCCTACTGGACGATAAACAAGAGGTGCGTACTAGCACCATCTTGTGACCAAAAAGACAGTAACCGTCACTATTGCATATTTTTGGTTATGTTAGGAGATTGTGTGACCATCAGGTCAACATAACATGAGTGTAATGGAAACTGAAGATTTCTTTATTTTTAGTTGATGGGACAATAAATTGTTACATTTATGAGAACTTATAAACTAGTGTTACAAATGAAAATGTAATGCATAGTTATAATGCAACCCACAATGCTGTACACGGGTGAAAAAATAACAGTATAATTTACTTTTATAATAAATTATACTGTTATAATTACAAGCCTTGCATAAAACTATTTTTCATAAAAAAATAGGTAGGTATAGTCTAACTGTTCGACGATGTAACTCAAATGTTTGTACATTTGAGATATTAGCTGCGCGACGCTTACCGTCGGTTGTCGTGTTATTCTACTCATAACTATAGGCCCCCGGTGTGGCTTGAAACTAACCGAATTACCTCGTCGAATAGTTACACGAGTACAAAATAATTATTTAAAACTAATAATTACGTAAGACGTTTAATCATCAATTTATTATCATTTACATAACAATCATGTTTACTTGACGCGCATATCGTCATATTTCTTCTGTGGTAAGACTATTTCAATTTCCTTGCAATAAATCACTTACAATTGAATCGATTTCTTTGATCAATAATCGACGCTCTTTAGGTTGTTGTATACTGCATACAGCTAGTCCTAGATCATCCATGTAAGTTTGTAATGTAAATGGTTTTTTGTTAGAGAAACTGTGTTTTACTATAAAATTAGCTAGATCACTACGTCCGCATCGTCTATTCTGTCTGTATCGACAATCATTTTCAGTAGAAATTCCTGGTTCTTCTACAACGCTTTCTTCAGATGAAACGGAAGACGTCTCATCGTTACCACAATCACTTTTTTTCTTATCTATGTCATATCCAAGTAATTTAGAGAGACTTTTCTTAGTATTTTTATGTGTTTTTATCTCGGAGATTTGCTTTTCAGATGCGTCCAGAATGAATGGATCTAGGAAATCAAGACTTCCATCGACATATTTTGCCACCTTGTAATTCTTGCGGACTTCGAACTCGGACAAGTTTCCTTCTAAGATCATTAACTTCAATCTTTTATAAATCATGCTTATACTATGCCACATTCTGCGGCACTTATACACTGAAAAATAAAAATTGCTACATTACCTTGATATTACAGAAATGATTTTAAATAAATTACAATACATTGTGTTCTTGTGATTAAACAAGTAGATAGGTATATACCTAATAGTCGATGATTTCTAGTAATAATAAAATTAATTAAACGTATTATCTACAATTTTGGGACAATACCTAATAATTAAAAGTAAAGCTAAACCCATGAGAAAATGGCGGATGCAAAAAAAAGTGACACGTGACTATGACAGACTGTGACAATGCACTTACGCAGACCAGAAATTATAAAAGACGGTAAATAAAACACTTATTTAAAAATTTTAACAAATCGATTGAAGCAATTTGCACACACAATAAAGCAAACTTAATAATAATAAAATGTATAATATTACAAGTTTATAATAAATGTGTATTCTTACCATTCACTTGTGCCTCATTAGATAACTTATCCCAAGCTACCTCCGCTGAAGCAAGACCAATTGCGGATTTATCTAGCATCTTCTCACAAATGTTATATTCTTTTACTAGATTGATTAATTTTCTTTGTGATTTCGTCCAATTGTATCGGTATCTCTCTCTCATTTTATTTTGATAATTTTTAATACGTATTACGTTCGTGGCGGCCGGCGGCGTGCGCGAAACTGAGTAGAGGTGGGCGGGGAGCTGTGCGACACCATTCTCCCCGCTCCCCGCTCGTTCCTGCACGAGGCGACGGGCGTAAGTACAGCGGCGTGGAGCGGCGGCGAGAGGGGCGCGGGGTGACACAGGTTGCGAGTATATGCGTACCTACATAACTACGTTTCGTGTGACAAGAAGGAGTAAGAGATGTACATACAAACCAACAATATCAGCAGTCGAACGGAAACAAGATTTTCAAGAAAAATTATTGCAAAGTTGAAATTAAACATGTAAATATTGCATTCAATATAAGGTACATAATCTAAGTCAACCAAAACGTTACATTTAAAAGTCAAAATGGCTATCAATACTCCACTCCCTCTCGCTCCCTGTCTTCCCTCCCGCCTCATCCAGGCGAGAGAAGCAATTCGATGATTTGCCCCCCTAAAAAAAATGTGACTATCAATACTACATAAAAAAAGCAACATTAACCCCCTCTTTTTTTGAAATCGGTTAATTAACTCGTCGAGTACCGGTTTTATAGACACAATTAAAGAACAATAGGTCGCGGTCACCGGTGACCGCTTGGTGTTTGACAGTTTAATATACCTACTAACTTCTAATCTAGGGTACCTTCTCCTATACACTTACTATTAATTTGTTACACAACAAACACTTTTCTAAAAACCGCATTAAAATCAGTTCAGGCAATAGCAAGATAATCGCGCAAAAATAATCATAGGTACTTACTTACTAACAGGTCAAACACAGAACCTACTTTATTAAAGTCGGTTAAAAAAAAGAAGTGAAGATATTTATCACATGTAATGAGGATATATCCCACACGTAAATAGTAACTTATTGAAAAGTGATGACCTCTAGCTATTCCTTCGGGAATGAAAAAGGCGTATAATGTGTTTCACGAGCAAAGCTGAGTCTGTACAAATAATTCTCTCTAGCATAGCATAAACCGGTAAACGATTGGTTAGCAATCGGCGTCGCTCATGGACACCTGGAACACCAGAGGCGTAACAAGTGCGTTACCGGCCTTTTGGGGGTTAGTAATTTGAGGATTGTTGGGGATTCAGAGATTGGGAAGATTGGGGAGGGAGTGTAATTGGGCTTCCAGAACCTCCTTCACACGAAGTAACACAATCAAGCGTTGTTAAACGTCGATTTTCTGTGATACCGCGGTATCACTACTTACGATCGAACCGGCCCATTTGTGCAAGCATGGCTCTCCCACACTTAAATAATTAAGAAAAAGTCATACTCACATCACTTTTATGTAATCCTGACTCATTGTACTGACACTTTTGTGGTAGAAAATGTCTATTGAAGGCTACATTTACTAGAGAGGTATCGAGTAGTGTGCATGTGTGTATACTCCACACATATTAGGTGTTTCCGAGGCGTCGAGCAACGCCCCACACAATAAATTAGCTCGCATAGGAGGCTGTTACTTAGGTAATACATACAGTTTAGAACTAACGATAGTTTTAAACCTAAATAGCTAGATTTTGAGTGCTGTTTCATTTTATTTTAATTAACTTAACGTTACCTAATTTATAGGTAAGACTAGACCTGTTTAATACCTGTTTAATGTTCATCCTAGAAAAGAATGCTGAAATGGATGGATGGATTTAACTTTCTTCTTATTTACTTATACAATATTGTAAAAATGATTAAACCTATAGATTTAGGTACTCTATATCTAAGTGTTAAGTAATTTGATCGTGTTTTGGCAATTAATGCTGCCATGTAAGCATGACTTGGAATTCTTCTATTGGCGCAGATTTGTAACAATCATCATGTTTACGTTAAATCGTTTTAAGTACGTTTGCACTTGGTTCAGAGTAATTTTATCCAGTACTAGCGACCCGCCCGGCTTCGCACGGGTGCAATATGCATGTATTATACATATAAACCTTCCTTAAGAATCAATTAAAGAAAACCGCATCAAAATCCGATGCGTAGTTTTAAAAATCTAAGCATACATTGGGACAGACAGACGGCGGATAATGACTTTGTTTTATATTATGTAGTGATAAATCCATGGAGATTATAGCAGATCCAAAAGGGTTGTACTTACATAATAATCTAGATGAAGGCCATAGTGTCTAAAGTATAGCAATGCACTATTATGGTTTCAGTATCAGAGATTCTTAATTCACTAACAGAATTTCTTCGAACTAATGGTAGTTTCTTAAGCTATAAATCAAAGTACAGTTTGGGTGTATAGCTTAAACTGAAGGCTTTTTTAAGGGCAGGACATCATTCAATGACTCCTCCCTGCCTGATGAGGCGAGAGGGAGTGTCAAACTTTTACTGACTAAAAAAAACCCCGTTCCTATGCCTGCTTAGCTGAAGAAACTAAAGGCTTGAACTACCAAAGGGAAATAACAGTTTATGCCTCCTTTGCACTACGCTAGCATTTTAGTCGAATAGTAAGTATAGTTGCCTATTACTTTGATTTTGGAACAAAAGTCTCTGCTCTAGAAAGATTTTTTTTTTAAAACTTATAATGTATACTTTTATGTTAATAAAGGTTTTTTTTTTATTTTATATAGGTACCTGTAGTTTGTATTTTAATCTTTAGAACTGAGCATCGGGATCTTATGTCGAATTCTGGGTTTATGGGAACAAATTTTCAGATTACGTTTTTTTTTTTGTTATGTAAAATTTGTACTCCGACAAAACTAACAAGTTAACCTCAACCTTCTTTAAAGATTGATCAAGTTATTGTTACATTTTTATTATCTTAGCCGAGGATGTAATCCAAGTACTTTTCCATCAACTACTACTTGGACATTAACTACTTATTTACCCTAGGTACTATATGCAACATTGTATTATTATTAGTTCCTACCTCAATAATAAGAGCCATCATAGTGACAATGCAATTTATGATACAAACACGTGTTTTACTAAAAGATGCATCACATCAAGCTACTCTATTATATCAAAAAGATAATCATTTTCGACTCTATTACAATTAGTAAAAGAAGAAAATCTATTAAAGGGGACCAGTTTTTTTTACTACAATGACAACTAAAAGGACTTCTGAGATCTACTTTTAATCTGTAATAGTACAGGTTGACTAAAGGATTATGTTCGATTTTTAAAGTAATCAAAGGTTAATAAAGTTCAGAATCGGCATGGCATTGTCCATTTAATATTGTATAGGGTCAGGTGTGGCTTTATCTAGAACCGCGTCCCTTACTGGTTTTGTATGAAAATTAACACATGCTTACAAAGAATAAAATTATCTACTAAGTCTTAGAGATGTACTAAGATCACATTACACTAATCTCCTAATTTCCTAAATTAATATTTTGAGTAACCTAAGTAAGCAATAATAACCTTTCGCAAAAACTTGGATCTTTCGCCGCTCTTCCTGGAAATATGCCTGGGACGGATTTAAGAGATTCAGGTCATCGTCGCTAATAATTATATTCTTTCTATAACACTTTATTGATCGTAATATTAATAAAAAGTATCTGTTCAGTACCTAACAACAACATTTTGCGCGTGGAAAATTATCCTTATATAGGTACCTACAGACTAATTTTCAGAAGCTTTCCGAACTTAATAAATAGGAAGAATCGACAGACAAATTTTATACAAATGCGCGACACAGCAAATGAGAACACAAAAAATACTTGAAACCAGTCGTTATATAATAACGAGCCATGATTATGACATCAGGTTGGCAACTTCTCAATACGTAGAGATTCGCTTAAAAATTTAACACAAATTGCCTTGAGCATACTAACTTCTAAATTGAGTTGTTACGCTCAATATGGTCAGATACTCTGAAAGTTAGGTGCCATGGCGTCAGACTGGTATGCTAATGCAATTGTTATTTATATTTAAAAGAATAATAATATGTTGATACAACTGACAGTCGGTCAACTAACCGACGTAAATCATAAATACTTCCCACGATGTTGTAAAGTGAATAATGTTTTAATCGTATAACTTTTTGTAGTGGTTAGGTATATATAGATAGACATAGACTGTTTACAGATTGCGTTGGAGGAATTTTCACGATAATTCCGGATGAAATATCGAAACATCATTCTTTAGTATAGTTAGACAGTAAGAGTCTGTCATTCGATGATATTCCACCCTTAAAAAATAAAGTATGGTTCTAACAAAATAAAGTGTAATATACCTACATTATGTAGACGACTAAAGTGATGAAATACAGTAGAGATAATAAAGTACTACAATAAGTACACATTCGATGGATAAACACAACAACTACGTAACACCAAGCATTCGCAACAACATTAACAGACACGAAACTAGCAAATTCTTTGACTTAAATAGACATCTTATAAAATATCAGTAAATGTTACATAAATCTATAAATATCGCATTATAAATTCGCTCGTGTACCTGTGTAGAGGAGTCAAACTAAGGAGGCAGACTCCGCTACCCGAGGCCTTGTCGCGTAGGCAAGTGACATCATGCTCGCGACAGCCGAGATCACAATCAAGACGATTTACATTATCGTCCTATTGATTTACAAGCACTATTCTTGTTACCATTTTAACGTGCTAACATATAATTGGCCGCACACATCCATTCCTCGGATGGAATCAAATTGGAAACTTACCTTTTGCTTCGTAAATCAATAGTGTTTATCGGATTACAATTATAATCAGTTCTGCGGTTATTTTTCCGTTACACGTGGAAATTGCATTGAGAAAGAACACGCTGATTAGTTTGTATTGCATTCGCATACATGGTATTACGTTTCTTGACAATAAACTTCAGTGAAGGATCTTTAGTCAATGCCATAACACTTTACTAGGATTATTGTTTGTAGATAGTACACAGCACAATATATATGAAGCATTGTGTTGCCGCCGTATCAAAAACGTGCTATGAATTACTCTATAAAATTGAATGTTATTGAAACCAGAAGAAGCTGATCACGCCTATAACGTGGAGATAATTTGAAAATGTAACATTGTGGCTATGAACTAATCCAGCAGACGTTCCACCGACCACAAGCATTGTGTTCAGCAAATTGCAAAACAAATGGCGTAATAGTCAGTAACAGTTGTATTGAAACATACGACTAA